GACGGTTAATATATTACTTTATCTACCTACATACTAGCAGAAGTCGCGTCTTCGCTCGCGTTAAAACTACGAAAAAACTCTAAAAAGATTGGTTTCATACAAACTTTTATTCCCTATTTTACCTCCCTATGGGATGAATTTCGAAAAATGCTAAAACACGTATTCATTTATTTGTATTGAAGATCATTAATACCAAGTTTAAAGTAATTCTGATCATAAATATTTGTTTGAGTTATATTATAACGTGTTTTCCCGCGGGAATGAGATAATCTGCCGCGGTAAAAAGCCTATGTCACTCCCCAGGAATGATCTCATATTATCAAATATATGATGCTGTTTAAAAAAATTAGTCAAAGTAATAAAAACTACATCAGCAGTTAGATATTACACCTATTATATTAATTAACGACTATAATCTATTATATAATTAAAGATGTCAATCGATTAATATATTCTCTTAAATTGCAGTACACGAATACACTTTTCGACGTACCTACATATATTATCAGAACTATTTCTATAGCAATATCTCGTTTTTCGAGATTATTTGTTTACCAATTTATTTATTATCTTATAAATTATAATACCTTTTTGGGTTACATACTAAGAAATCGATCTAACACCCGTCACGCAATTATATGTGCGAGATTCACAACGCGACTATCGAAATTAAGGACCGCTACCCGCGCATCCAAAATATAATTATAATTAAATGCCCATAATATGATGAAATACAACAATCTTAAAAAACGCAATAATCTTTTTGAATGCAACAAACATACACTAAATATAAACTAAGAGTATTTTATATATTAGGGGTATATATATATATATTATTTTCATAATTTCTTTTATACAATAAAACATAAATAAATAGCTGTGTAACGTTACGTTAGTTATAACTAGGAAAGAAAAAGTTAATTGATGCAGTACATGTACATTGTACACTATACTCTATATATAAAACAAGGTGCTTTTAATTTATTAGTAACCAGTCGTTTAAAATAATATAATTAAAGATTCTATCTACTATAATTTCAACGTAATTATAATACATAGTGGTTACAGTTTTTATAAGTTTACATCTGAGCGACATATAAATATTTATAACGTTAAATAAAATTGCTATATAAGAAACTAGCGGCTCAACCACGCTTAGCGTGGGTCGCCTCTCTCCTCGCCTGTCGTAAAAAAAACATATCTATCCCACGGGAACCGTACATTTTTACGGGATAAAAGTAGTCTATGTGCTATTCCATACAATAATCTATATCTGTATCAAATTTCATCCAGATCCGTTCAGCCGTTCTGGAGTGATTGAATAACAAACATCCATTCAAACATTCAACCATCTAAACTTCAACAGTTATAATATTAGTAAGATTAAATGCCTTCAAAATTTGGGTTCTTCCTCACTTTTAAAGTATTTTAATTTTAAGTCTAAATTAAGTTAATTAATTAATCAAGTAAATTTTAATTTTTCATTTAAAAGTCTACGTGCGAAAGGCCACGCGTTATTATGTAATATGTATATCAATTTTACATATTTAATGAGACTTTAGAGGTACAGTGTACATTTAAACGTGCGGTAAATTTCTAAATATTGTAAGTATATGCATTATATTAGCTATTAACTATAAACCACTACATATCCCACGACGAAAAAATAGATACGGTTCTAATTCACCACTCTTACAAAGCTTTAAATTATATAATTTTATATTTCAGCAATGTGATATAGACATTTTTTCTGATAGTTTAAATTTATTTAAAAAGAAAGTGTATTTAAATATTTAGATTAGTTTTTTTTTTCTTTTGTTTACTGTACAACTGAAATGGCTCCTTATATACTCCTAGCCACAAAATTTTAATGGAATAATTCTATAAAAAGCTGTGCATACTTCTAAATTAAATTTATATACAAATAGGTAAAATTATAATGTTATATAAATTTTTTTATGTAAATTTAGTTAGTAAGCCTTTATAATAAATAAATAAATAAATAAATAAATAAATAAATAAATAAATAAATAAATAATATCTCTCGTGACTACTTAGGTTATTGAGAAATAAATGATTACTCTACCTGATGACGTGAAAATATAGGAAAAATTTAACTTTACCTCAACAAATATATTATTTTGTCCACGATTCTTCCATGTTTGTTCAAAAAATATTCTTACTTACGTTTAAAAACGGGCGACTTTTTTTAATTTTTTCGCCAAATTCTAATGTTTATTATTTTTAATAAATAGCAAACTAACAATATGTTTTATTTTACAGTAGAGAATTTTTCATCTACTTTAAAACAAAGTTTTATATCTAAGATTTATAATACATACACACATATATAGATAAAATACTTACATTGTTAGGTTTTTAAAGTAAAATGTGTATTTTATACCAAAAGAATTAACATTTAAAAATCAATGATTCTGTAATAAAAACTCTTTCGGTAAATTAATCGTTGGAGAAATAAGTACCAAGACGACGACGCTTACATTATGTCGATGAAAGAATTAAATTTTGTTATTAAAAAGTATTTGACCTTTCATTTAAGAAGTAATTGAATTTCCCTTTAGTAAAAATTGATAAAACTTATTTTCTATAGTTTATAACTTAGTTCTATAACCAATACCTATGGGAATGGTTACAAGTTATTGCAAGTGGTAAAAATATAAACATAAAGTACGACGACAGATGAACGCGTAAAACATATGGGCAACATTAAAATATAAAACACATGTTAATCTGTACAAAAAACCAAATAAATGCTATACATATCTATATATAAGTATTAAAGAGGTCATGTTTGTAACTTTTATCTATACTAATATTAGAAAGAGGTAAAGTTTGTGAGGTTGTAGGGGGTAATCTCTGGATCTACTGAACCGATTTAGATGAAATTTGGTAATAAGATAGTTTGAGACCCTGGGAAGGACATATGATACTTTTTATTCCGGAAATCATTCCTTAAGGGGGTGAAAACGGGGATGAAAGTTTGTATGGGGAAGCAACTTAATAAAATATTTATTAGATGTCCCATAGCTTATGTATAATTTCAGAAAAAAAAAAACAAAATATAATTGTTAATTTTTAACAGCGCCTAGTACAAGAAAGTAGAAAGTATATGTAAAATATTCTTTATAGTTACACGTTACTATTTTATTACGAAAAAAACAGTCCAATTAATTAAAGTTTAATAACTTAATAATATCATTATAGATAAGGGAATATTCTATGTTTAAAACATAAATCATAGTTCACTAACAAATGGACCATTGAAAATGTAAAAATCGGTCAAGTACGAGTTGAATTCGCACACGAAGGGTTCCGTACCATCGTACATGTCCATTTTATTAATATGATTTTTCTCTATGTATGTAGTATATTAACTTTGATGATCGATTACGAACGTTAAAAAACGTTTTTTTTTTGTTTTTATTTATTTTTATTATTTGTTGTTATAGCGGCTATAGAAAGAAATACATATTCTGTGAAAATTTCAACTCTCTACCTATTACGTTTCACGAGATACAGCCCTCTGACAGACGGACGTACGGACAGCGGAGGCTTAGTTATAGGGTTCCGTTGGCACCCTTCGGGTACGGAACCCTAAAAGAGCAGGAAACTCATGTGAGTATATGTAGAGCACTTCAAGTAAAGCTCTATACTACTCCTGTTTGAATACAAAAAAAAAATTGACAAAATAAATCGAACCGTATGTAAATTATTATTATGAGATCATAACACATTACTTACAACAACTTTGTTGTAAGTCGTATGTATGGCTTCCATTATAATATAGTAAACGCGCAGGTCGTGAGTAACCTTGAAAAAATGTTAAGAATATGAACACTATTTAGATCCATATGTAATAAAAATGACGATAAATTGTTATAGCTTCTTTTAATAGTTTAGCGATGTAGAGTTTGGTATATTAGAATATACATACTAATAATAATAGCTCAAAAATTCTATCCTGTCCTACTAAATTTTAAAAACGCGAAAATTTTTGAGGACCGGTGTATGGATGGATGTTTGTTATTCTTTCACGTAAAAACTACTGAGCAGATTTTGATAAAACTTTACAGTATACATAGCTTGTACATCAGCTGCTAGCTTAGTGTAAAACAGGCTATAATTTAAAGATATATAGGTAAGTACATATTAAACTACGAATGAGGACCCGCGGGAAAGTACTGGTAATATTATATCATAGATATATTATATATTTTAATATAATATCTTAACTATTTCAAAAAAAAAAAATTAAAGCTGTTTTTTCAACTGTTTTTAACAATAATGTAAATTAATTTCTATAAAAAATATTAAAAAAAATTATAGATACATATATCTATAATTAATCGAAAAATGTGTAAAATCAATAAAAAAAATAACTTACTGTTACATTCACTATAACCCAGGTACATTAAATTACATAGAGTCGTGTTATTAAATAAAGTAATATAATTATAACTCTATATAATGAATATAACGAATTTATCTTGCAGTAAAATATTTACTATCGTATACTTCTTTACAGTTAAAGTTTCGTTTTACAGCTATTAATAAATGAGTAGGAAATGAAATAATAAACATATTAAACAACTAACTTACACGTGTATTGTAATAACTTGTACTGTGAGATAACATTTGTTTTTATCCAAATAGGAAATCCTAATATTATCAGATGTAAGGCAGTGGTAGCTCAGTGATTATACACTCGCTTGGAAAACCGAGTGAAGCGGGTTCAAATCGAAGCAGGTTTAAGTCCTGGTCTCGCACCTCGTGAGGAAACCTGCATGTCTGAGAGAACCTAGCAAGTTTTCGAAAGACTACGTACGGCCTTCGTATTAAAGGGAGGCCCGTGCCCAGCAGTTGGACGTTAAGTAAAAAAAAGGCACTTTAGCAAAACTTCCACTTTATTTCACACATATATATATTCTCATAATATCCTTCCTTATTAATATGAATAAATATACACCACTATCACTCACCGGACTTCCTTTTTTCGTTGACGAGCACCAGCGACTTCGTCCTCTTGACTCTTAGAGACCGGCGCCTTATAGACCTCATTAAAGCCTCCGGCATCCGAGAGAAGCGCGGAGAGTCGACTCTCTTCTCGGGCATAAAAAAGTTTTTTACCGCCAACATTTTGCCTTAAATTGTAATAATCATTCCAACATTTTCACACAATAGTCATTTCCTAGGCGGAAAAGATATAGATTTTTTTATCACTTTTAAATAGCGTTTCACTTATCCGGCATCTATTGTTTCAGACACATCACAATTCAATACACGCTTGCACTTATCCTGTCGCCGTATTTGGGTTCGGATCCCGGTTAAAGTTGGGCGATTTTAATTCAATTCGCGCGGCACGTCTCACTCGACCGCGAGTCAGACGCCAACTGACACGTTACGCGGTCGCAACTTAGATACGAATACTATGTCTGCAAGATTATCTCTTATCAGCTATTTTTACTCTAAAATTATAATTTTAAAGGTCATTATTGTACATATTTACATTTGTTATCAATACGTTATTGTAAAATTGTAGTCGATACCTTTCATTCATAAAATATGAAGGATATGTAAGAATAAATACAATTAAAAAAAAATTAAAAGTATACGAATTAAAAATGAAATATGTTACATAATACAATATTTTAATGTTAATAATAATTATTGTACTTATATATATATATAATTGTGTCTTATTTTTGTTGCTATGTCGATCATTTGAACCACATCTCATTCTTATCTAATTTCTTTATCATTCATCTGTATACTGGTTTCTTATATAATTATTTATTCGTAGATGTATACTCTATTCTTATATAATAATAATTCTTATAAATACTTAATAGCTTTAGCATAGTTTAATTTTTTATGAAACAGTTTAAAACTACGAAGATTTTATCCATACTTTAGGTTTGGGCGCCCCTCTATGAATTTTAATAGCCTCGTGTTAAGTGTAGATTTAATCTAGCTAATTAGTTAGGCCGATAACAAACCTATATCAAATATACCGATCGACGCCCAAGCTCGTGCTACTTGTCTCTATATATATAAAAATCAATTGCTGTTCGTCAGTCTCGCTGAAACTCATAAACGGCTGGACCGATTTGAATCATTCCTTTTTTGTTTTGTTGGGTGTGTGTCAGGGGTGGTTTAAGTATAAAAAAATAGGAAAAAAAGAACAGCTGGAAAATCGAAAAGTCTAGAACTGTTAATTTTGTATGTCAATCACTACTTCGGAATACTTCCAATAGAAATCTTTCGGAAATCTACAACAATGCGTCAAGATTAAGTTAGAAAAAAAAACATATGTATGTATATAATAATATATACTCTATCTATTTCATACTAATCGTTAATACAAATCTAGGGACGAACCGGAGAGAGTCGCTAGTTTAAAATATAATTCATTTGCATCATTAAAATCACAATAACAACTAATAAATGCCGGCTAGTGGCTAATCTGATAGGAATAGCAATCACGAATAGTTACGACCTTGGTATGTATGTATGTTATATTTTATGTATAAACTAGCATTGCCCGCGGCTCCGCCCGCGTTCAGATGACCAAAAACCAAATTCTTAGGTTTTACATATTAGTACACTCTTACAATGCAGATTTTGTATTTTTTCTCAGAAATGATATATTTTCTCGCAGTAAAAAGTATCATATATGTTGACCCGGATAGCCAGCTATCATCATACCAAATTTCATCAAAATCTATCCAGTGATTTTCCCGTGATGCGGTAATAGACAAAAATTCTAAAAACTATACAGACAGACAGACAAAAATTCTAAAAACTATAGATTCGGCCTCTGTATCGATAATAACGTCTCTTTCAATAAGATTTTCCAAACAATATTTAATGTACAGACAGATTCAGCTTAGTTACAGTTTTATTATATGTATAGATTTTATTATTATATGTATAGATATGCACAGTCTTACACGTACGTTACCGAGTCGTTTAGGTATCCTAAGTTTTTATTATCTATGAAAATGGAAATAATGAGCTTTGGTCATGACTCTACATTTGTCATATTGTGTTTATTTTTCCTTATCTTAAGTCATGATAGCCATATAACCCAATCAGGGTAGAGCAGATACTTAAGATAAAATTGCCAAAGTAATCTATACATAAGTACAATAAAATTCTAAGACAAATCTGTACATTAAATATTTTTTGGATAATCTTATTGAAATAGTCATTACTATCGATACATACGCCGAATCTATAGTTTTTAGAATTTTCGTCTGTCTGTCTGTGACCGCATCACGGAAAAACCATTGGAGGGATTTTGATAAAATTTGGTATGATGATAGCTGGTTATTCGGGTCAACATATAGGATACTTTTTGAAATTCAAATCTTCTACTAATCGTTAAAACGTACCTGATTTAATATACTGCTATATTATACCATACTATTAATGTGTGTTTGTTTACACAAATCGACAGAGAGAGCAGCGGTATAATAAATTATATATATGTACATACATTTTATATCCTAAATCCGGTTATAAAAGATTTAAAGTATTACTAAGTCTATGTCAACTAATAAAATTGTAGAGTGTTACAAAGCACATTACGTAATAGGGCAAAATTTCTCCTACAACTGAGAGGACTATTGCATCTCTTATTATATAACATGAGTGATGCCTCGTTATCTAAGTTTGGATTAGTTCCTCTATCCGCCAACTCACTTTTTTTCCCAAAAAACTTTATTATACATATTAAAAAAAAACTTTACTTAAAAACTTAATCTATACTTAAATACAAAATAAATGTATAGTAAAGATGTGATTTTTCTATTAACCTATACATGAATCACTACATAGTATAAAACAAAGTCGCTTCCCGCTGTCTGTCTGTCCCTATGTATGCTTAGATCTTTAAAACTAGGCAATGGATTTTGATGCGGTTTTTTTAATAGCTAGAGTGATTCAAGAGGAAGGTTTATATGTATAATACATGCATATTACAGTACAGAAAAGTTGAGAAATTCACAGATTTGTATTTCATACTAACCGTTAAAACGTACCTAGGAACGAAGCCGAGCGAAGCGAGCGTGAGTCGATAGTGTGAGTTACTTATGTAGATGATTAATTTTTCAACATAAAGACGGAATCACTGGACGTAAAATGTTGAAATTTTGACAGCCTGGACATATTGGCGCAGAATGCTGGTGTTGATATATAAAGATAATATGTACTTACAAAATAACCTATACCTATTACCTACATATACATATATATATATATATATATATATATATATATATATACACACACATACACATATGTATGTATGTACACATTAAAATGTTAAAAGATAAATATTAATTGCTTAGACTAACTTAGCTTCACTAATCAATTCTCTCGGCCACATTACTTTCATGTGACGCGATGAATCAATTAATTGAGCTATCTATTCTTATTCATGTACAGCACTAACGTAACTACGAGTGAAACTAGTTTCGTACTATCACCTGCCATGATAACATAAGCAACTATTGTGGTTAAAAAAATAATAATAAATATAATTTTATACTTAAATAACTTGTGGATAATCAATCCAAATGCTTAGAATTAGGGCCCCAAAAAAAAAAACGAAAGACTACGTATCTCTCTATGATCCTATATTCTACAATTTGTTTACCTGCAAGCTATATAAATCACAACAACTTATTTTAACCTGTAATCTATTCATATAATAAAATTGTAACTAAGCTGAATCTGTCTGTACATTAAATATTTTTTGGAAAACCTAATTGAAATAAACATTATTATCGATACAGAAATCGAAGTGTTTTTTGGAATTGTCTCTCAGTCTGTCTGTCTGTGACCGCATTACGACATTTTTATGGAATTTGGATGATGATAGGCTAAAAAGTCTTACATGCGAGTACCTATATATACTTTTTACTGCGGGAAAATATCTCATCTCTGAGAAATCTATACTAAATGTCAAAACGTAACTAGGGCCGAACGCAAGCGCAGCGAGGAAGAGTCGCTAGTTTTTAAGATATAAGTAAAATTAGAGATTTGTAGAAACTCGTCAATCATTATTCCTCAAGTGAACGGAATGAAGTCACAACTTACAATAGACAGTTCATCAATAAAACAATCTGAGCTTGATGACCTATACATATTTGGTCCAGGAAGCTTACACACAATTGTTTCATACAATAACAAGACGGACGTTGTACATTTTACTAATCGGATTACTATTATAAATGCGAAAGTTTGTATGTTCGTTGCTTCTTCACGCTGTAATGGATGGACTGATTTCGATGAAATTGTTAAGCATCCAGGGACGTACCCGAGCGAAGCAAATATATGTCTCTAATTTTCATATATCTCATATCTACATATATTGTATGCATCGTATGCATATTTAAATCTGCTTTTCCAGCTTTAAATCTATATATAATTCATTTTGGTAGTTCATAATTAAGTGATACGAATACATATTCGTATCACTAAATTAAGCATTGCAATTGGGCATGCTTAAGTCACTTGTGTCATGGTACAATTACATATGTGGTAGCATGGGGGTGATTTGTAATGAAGTCAAGAGGTGAAGTCTATCTAGTTTATAAGCAAAAGCTTCTTTTAAAGCATATTTTAAGTTTACAAAGCTTTATGTATACACTGACTACTACTTTTTTCCCGCAGTTTCGCTCGTGTGATACGATAAACAATAGCCCGTGAGTCCTTTCCAAAATCTATTAAAATTTTATAATTAACAAAAACATTCAATAATTTACCTACATTACTTATGTATATCATTAGTGATAAAGTACTTTTCAGTAGGTCATTTTTAAACTGCCTAATGAGTTCAAAAATAGATATAACACAGTAATAAATCTCTTTAAACATCGACTAAGAATAACTTGATTGTATAATCTTCCATTTGTCATGAACACTGTATGCAGTAGCATGCTCCAATTCAAACTCATCCAGTATTTTAAGCAGAACAAATCGGTCTACCGGTTATATGGGTCAGACAGACTCCAGAGGGCGTTTAGATCTACCAACTTCAAACCATTGTTGCTTTTTATAGTTCTAAATTAATCTTTTCATTAGGCAATTAAATAAAGAAGTAAACATTTTCAATATTTAGCTTTTTAGGT